TATGTTTAGAAGGTTTATCTTACCAAAAGCGCTTCGAATGCTCCTTCGATTCCATCACTATCTAAGGGCTTTTGTGGTGGCTCCATTGCCTTCTCCTTCGCGTTTAATGCTGTAATGGCTGCCAAAACTCTGGACCCCCGCTTTCCGGCCGGCTCATGTCGCTTCTTCAGTTCATGCTCTGTTGGAGATCCGCGGCGAACGTGGTTAGCCCGGCTATCACCTGCTTTCTGCCACTGCTGTTCGTTGGAAGCACCCGAACGCTGTACGGAAGCTAGCATATCTTTCATGGATGAAGAGGTGGGCAATACAAATTCCGACTTAGGCCTCGGTTTTGTATCGGAACGCTTCGTTAGAAATGGTAGTTGGTGGCCATGGAAATTCCTCTGCTTTGATGGCGAGTAGCCCCTAGGAGTATAGAGCGACATTTCTTCGTCCAAGGTTCGCCCTCTTTCTGGTAGATAGCGGTTTCCTCCCTGACCCTGCTGTTGGGACGTGCTGCCGAAATGAGAATACAGCGGCGAAATTTCAACCGTAGGAGAATGAGGTGGATTCATGTTTTCCTTATCTTTCTGCTGTTTGTTGGAAGTATTGTCCCTCCGGCCTCGTTGGGACCTTCTGAAAATTGCTGACAAACTGGTGGACGACTTTGTCTTTTTCGCCTTCTTTTCCCGCACGGTGATCTCTGGGGAAGGTGTTTTGTTGGGTGTTGTAAAATCCTTCATAAGGGACCTTAATGATACGGAGCTTTTCGTTTTCTTATGCAAGCTATAATCCGAATTCGCCTCAGAACTCTTATTGCGGAGGCGGGCATTACTTGGCTGGTGGCCATTATGGGATACCTCAGACAATGGCCACTGCGTGTAGGAATGTGGATGGTCGAGAGGCAACATAGGAGGGGGCATGGACGTATGATCGTTTGGCAGGGCATTCCCTATTAGGGCACTACCAGCTGAGTGGTTTCTCTTGTGGGCCTTTGACGGGAAAATAGACCTCAGACCCGAAGTTTTTGAATGGCCCGACTGCTCATCAACAAATATGCCTGAGTTTTGCATGGCGGGAGACATCATGTCGCTCACAGGGTCCTGAACATGTGCATAGAGATTAGTACTTGCTGTGCAAAGGTAAACAAAAAATGCTTAGGTTTGTTTCCACTCACTCCGCTTCAAAAAATATCTGGCTAAACACAATTAGCGAAGTGGTAACAAAGAAAAAATAAATCGAATATCCGTATTCGAAATGTCTATGCGAATAGTGAATCGAGGGATATGTGATTCAAGTAAACATGCCAGTGTCTAGGTTCGGTTGAATGCTTCATCTCCTTGAGGATATCCTCAAGGAAGGCAAGACAACAAACAAAAATAGTCAAGAGAACTGCCAATGAATAGTATTAAGGGCCATGGGGACAATAATAAATGAATCAGTGACCGCTGTTCCAAGAATTATGAAGATGGAGAAACAGGTATTGACGTTGCTGCAGCAACGTAGATTAACTAGTTAGTCAACCCCGATAACAAATAACTTAGCTAAGCGGGGTGGCCTTGGCGCATCCATCTTGAACGCATCGATGGATAAGACAGAAATCCGATATCAGGTTAATTAGCGCAGGCGGGATGGTTCATCTACCAGTGGTCAATCACTGTCTTGACCTGGCCCCAATGGGTTTATTATTTGGTGTTACTTTCTTTGTGCGGTTTTTTCTTCAATCGCTCATCCCAGTCAAAATCGTTGATCTTCAGCGTGCTAAGCGCTAAGATAGCCAATAGAACGACAATGTTTGTCGCTAAGAACGACCTCGAGATGTTGGCCTCATACATACAGCGATACAACAGGCCAATTTCGAACTTGTAGCAGCCCGTATTCCCCTCTACGCACCAACTTTCCATAGAAATTATTTTATCCCACCGTGATTATACTACTAGTATATTAGCACATGTAGTTCCACGTGGCTTTACTCCGGTATGTCAGCGTAACATGATATCCTGGACTGGGGTTTTTTGCAGTCGCCTTTCGAAAATATCCAGCCAGTTAATTCGAGTTTTCTCGAACGCCCGAAACCCAACTTCGTTGGCACTGACCTTTGGGTATAATTTGGGACGAGGATTTGAGGAACTTGTTGCTCAGCTCATCATGTTTCCGTGTGCACCTTGCATTTGTATCATTAAATAAAAATAAGAAAAAGTAAGAAAGAGAACAAGACAAAAGAGAGACATAGATAAGAGAACATATAAACAACACTAATATCATTTTGGCGGTTTGGCTACCTTGCATACTAAACTAGAAACTCGATATTTGAGCCACCCAGCCGGAGTTCTGATGATGAGGGGTGGAATGAGACAGTAGCTATACATAACCAAACTCGCCGGAATGACGTAGGGAGAAGTGGTATATCTATATGTTATGTTCCACTTAATAAACAAGTAGTAATGCATTCCAACGAATTACACAGCGTTGCGCAAAGGGGTTGTGCGGGTTCCTGATTCAGAATTGAATCTCGTGTTTAAATCGCATCCTGTATGATTTGAAAAACACCAAAGACACAGCCAATCTGAGCACCAAAGTAGCGAAATGCCCTCATGTTAAGAAATGTGTTCAAAACATGGCTCGGAATAACACAAGATACAATTTAAAGCGAGGCCACGCACGAAGAGAACGCACGGAAGTTTCGTTCGACAAAAAGAGAGCAAGCCTGACACGGCCATCTCACCCAGCAGCCTCCTTAACCTTCCCCTCCTCAGGAGGTTCATCCACAAACTGTGGTGGCGCAACCTCGTCTTGAAGAAACGCGGGTGTCGCATCCTCAGATAAAGCGTTTTCGAACATCGACTCCTCCCCAAGCGCTTCCAACTCCGCATCAAGTTCAGCCTCATCCACATCCTCCGGCACGTCATACGCACGGCTGATGCTCTCTTGAATCTCATTCCCAATTTCCATCAAATCCTGCATCTCATCCTGCATGCGCTCGATCTGGTCGATATCCACCTTTCCATACTGCTGTTTGAGCGTCTTTGTCGTGGTCTTCATCGCATCCACGGTCGTCATGACATTTTTCAGATTATCCTGCATCATGCCTGCTTGTTCCATGTTCCATGACTGTTGCGACAGTTGATCTCGCTGAGCTTCGTATTGCTTGCGGCGTTGTAGCACCTTGAGGGCTTTTTGACGTATGGCATTTTTCCCGGGTCCGTCGCGCATTTTAGCCATTCGAGATTGGTAGGACGATAATTCCGCATTTAGAGCGGCGAGTTTTACGTCTATGCTTGCGACGCGGTTGTCGACCTGTTAGTTAGTTTAACATGTGTTACAATTCGGGCGGAGGTTCGCTTTGGAATGCTATGAACTGTTAGGTAACGGGGAATGAGCAAACGTACATTTGTGATTGCGGAATCGAGCGTCGGTTTCGGAGCAGAGCTCTTGGTACCAAATAACCGGTTCATAACTGTTTTGCACTTGTGCTATTTGCGCCTGGGGAATGCCGTGAAGACAGCGGGGCAGGCGATGGGTTACCGCACAAATTCAACAGGTGAGTTATAAATAGCCTTGGAGGGATATCAGCGAATACGAAGTCTACTGCAAAATCCCTGAAGCCGTGATTTGTTAACCGTTCAAGTTGCTCTGGAGTCAAGCGTCAATATTCGACACGATCAATGATGCCTGTTGGAAGATGAAAAGCGCACTAAAATAACGGTCCAAGTTCTGATGTCAGAGGGTTAGGTCACATGCCGCCTGCCAAGCCATCAAACGATCAACTCACCCACACCGGCCTGGACATCTCAACTATCAATCAGCCAAAGAAAGTCGAGGATTAAGTTGTTTTTCATTTGTTGTTTTTCATTGACCATGGGTGTGACATGGCTTTGTAGGTATGAGCACGTATCTCAAAACGCCCACTTGGCCCCTAATTTTGATCAAGAAGCAAATATGTATCACAGAGAGCGGGAGTCTCAGTGATCGAAAGTCTGAACGAACAGTTTGATTTACTATGTAGAGGGTGGCCTTCATTCTAGGCTTTGATTCACGCAGAAAGAAGAAGGATCCATGTGAAGCCTCCTGATGATTGTGCTCCTGAAATTAGTCTACTCTGCAGATAGTGGCGTCCATGGCAGCAACAGGCTGACAGCATGATGTAGCCGAACAAGACCAAGTTGACAGTAGAGAAAAAAACTACGTTATCCTTTAATTTTCACGTCGACTTATTTAAGAACAGCCTGCTATGTACCCCCCAAACAGACCGGTCTACTCCCGCTGTGGCCAGTGGCATAATTGGTAGTATTCCTGTGGTTGTTGTTGCTGCAATAGTTGAGCACAGTACATATTTGCCTGGTTCTTCGGAAACCTTGGACAAGAGCCGCACCCACGCCAACGCCAGCACATCTCAACTTCAACTTGCCGACCTCAACCCCAACATCCGCCCATACGACACCAACCTCCCGTTCTCGACTGTTACTGGCCTCGAGCTCCCAGGAAAGGCTGCTTTGAATTATTTGTTCATCTTCATCGTCATTCTCTCATGTCGAAGGTACGCTGCAAATTACCCTTCTCCCGTCATATGCGGCCTAACCCACCACCCCCCCATTTTCTCCCGTCAGCATCCTAAATGATCCTACCCTACATCTTCAACCACCTACCCTTTCCCCGTCCGCGCACTCGCATACTGACATCCCATTTCCACATAGCGCATGGTAGCTTCGTCCATATTCTATTCTCTACTCCTATTCAGCACCGATTACGACCTCGAAATTGCCCGCGATCTTACCACCACCATAATACCGATCTCTCCTCTGTACACGTCGCATTCAGTGCTTGATACTTTTCGAATTATCATTATTTGTGGATAGCAAAATTTGCGCATAGACTCTCGGATACAGAAGCATACTTGGAAGCTGAAAGAAAAAAAAGAGATACGAAAAGTTAGAGAAATCGCAGACTCATCACTTCACATTTTCCCTGACGTCAATGAATCATCTTTACCGTTTCTCTCTCCGATATAATTATAACTCATCATGTTCTGGCGTTTTGGTGGATATGCAAATATATCCGCTATCGATACCCTCCTCGAGAAAGCAGATGTCTCCCTCGAGGAAGTTCTCGATGAGTCGGAGCTTATGCAGGAGCTCAAGCAGCATAATACGAAACTTATAGAATATCTGCGTGACGATAATGTCTTGAAACGATTGCTTGACTATGTAATTTCACCCAGTCTGATAGATGACGATGATGACGACCACGATGACGATGCGCGAGGACAAAAGGACAAGGGTAGGGATGGAGAAGCAAAGGAAAACCACGAATTCGCGGCAACTGCGGATTTGTCCGACCAGGCTAAGGAAAAAGGACAGCGGTTCGCCGACGATAAACCCGCTGGTTTAAGTTACGGTCTTGATACCGATGAACTGGAGAATGCAGAGAAGTCACGCTTGAAGTATTCCTATATTGCTTGCGAAATCTTGTCTTCTAATTCCTGGTCAATCATTGAGTCGATGATGCTCAATGAAGGATATCTACGGGACTTTTGGCACTTCTTGTGGAGGGAAGTGCCGCTTGATCCACTTCAATCCGGATATTTTACGAAGGTGAACGAAGTCCTTCTTGAAAAGAAGACCGAGGAAATGCTCGCTTTCATCAAGTCGTTAGATGGCGTGGTGCCCACGCTCCTTCGACATGTGGATAACCCTATGATCATGGACTTGCTTTTGAAGATTATATCGCTTGAAAGGATAGAGGGTGGCCAAGGAGTTGTTGAGGTGAGCACCATAACTTGCATTTCTAGACTATAACGTAGCTAACAGTTTCAAATTCAGTGGCTCCAATCACAGGACCTGATTCCATCCCTATTATCTTGCCTTTCGACAGAGCATACCTCTTCGACCCAGACATCAGCAGGTGATTTTTTGAAAGCAATTATCACGATTTCTGCTAACGCTGCGCAAAATGACCAGTCTTGTATCGGACCCAACAGCTTGACGCGCCAACTAGTTTCCCAGCCTTGTGTGGAAGTTTTAATATCGTCAATGCTGAAAGGTGGAAACCCACTTACCGTCGGAGTTGGGATTGTTATCGAAGTGATCCGCAAGAACAACTCGGATTATGACCCAGAAAATGTTGGCGGCCCGGACTCACCCCCAACGATTCATGATCCCATTTACCTTGGGACTCTCTTACGCATGTTTGCAAAAAATGTGCCTGGTTTTATGGATCTAATACTCAGTTCAAAACATATGGTGAATGAAGCTGGCCAACACAAAGTTGTTGAAAGACCCCGTCTCGACAGCGCTTGGGGAACTCGGATTGAACCTCTGGGATTTGACAGGTTTAAGACATGCGAATTGATGGCTGAACTTCTTCATTGCAGTAATATGGGTTTATTGAATGAGGTTGGAAGCGATGAATATGTCAGAAAACGTGATGCGGAGCGTGAACGACTGCGAGCACAAGGTGCTTTTATCACTGGTGAAGATGACTCGGGTTTCGAATATGCCGAGACCACGAACGAGTTCGCAAATGGCATCTCCCCATCAGCACTTGGTTCTGGCTCGCCTGAGGATATCAAACGGCTTGACGCATCACATGCAGGTGAAGAGGATGGTTTCGAACATGTTACTTCATCTGGAGTACTGATAGACGATGTTAAGGACGGTTTCGAGGAGAAGCCTGAAGGGGAAATCAACAATAAACCTGGTCCGGAACAGTTTACGAGTATTCCGCCACATGCGCCTAAATTAGGACTGAGTGATGATTTTGTAGATGAACCACTAACACCACCGGAGCAAGGGACATCCTTGGATGCGAAAGTCATCCAACCTCTTTCTCCATCTCTAGCTAGCGATCCTTTATCACCTGCCGCATCAATCCTCACGCAGAAAGTCGAAAACTTTAAGATTGATGCCGAACAACAGCATGGCCCGCATGAAAGGCATGACTCCCCTCTCAATGAAAACCCCACCATTGACGTACCTGAAAGTCAACGTTCGGAAAATCAAACTGGTAATCAAGGAAGTGGTGAACCGGATTCATCGTTATCCCCGCAACCAGATGATAAACCGGCACCTCTATTCGCCGCGAAGGACTCTCCAACGAAACTGGAAAATCATCAAATTGGCGAAGAAGACAATAAAGGAAGAGTGGAAACCGGGACTGCTCTCGGGAACAGTTGCATAACCGGGTCACTAACACCGTCGATAACAATGGGTGATGCTGGAGAGAACGTTGCACATCAAAATATTCAAATAGATACCGACGGCCAGCCAGTGGTTGGAGATTATCTAAAAATCATGTTTGTTGAGCACAAAGTCATACCCACGATCCTGGTACGTACAATTTGATTTGAATTCGATATATTATAATTCAATAGCTGACCCACTGAAATAGTCATTCTTTTTCCGATTTGCATGGAACAACTTTCTCCACAATGTGGTATATGACGTTGTTCAGCAAGTATTCAACGGCCCGATGGATCGTGGTTTCAATCGATCCTTAGCAATTGACGTATTCGAATCGGGCCATATTACAGAGGAGATTGTTCGAGGCCAACAACGAAGTGATGAAGCACAGCGGACAAAAAATATGAGATTGGGCTACATGGGCCATCTCACCCTGATTGCAGAAGAGGTGGTAAAGTTCAGCGAACGGCATCCCCCCGAACTGTTGTCGGCGACAGTAATGGAATATGTCCTTCACCCCGATTGGATCGATTATGTCGAACGAACTCTGTCTGAAACCAGAGAAAGGGATAATGCCATTTTGGGTGGTGTTAGGCCCGATATGTCTATGGGCCATCGGCAGGCAGTTCTTAATGCAGTCAACGCCTCACAGGGATTTACAGCTTCAACAGCGTTAGCAAATGCCGGTTTGAACGGAGGAGCCCTGGGTGCAACATTCGAAGGGTTGGATATTGTACATCAAGGCAGCGCCTCGGGCGGTGCGTTTTTCGGCGGGGCTAGCGGGCCATCCTTGCTCAGTGGATTTGGAAGCTCGAGCGATGACGAAGATGAAGAAATGGAGGATCCAGAAGATGACGAAGGTGGTGCGAGAAGAACTCACTCAACTGGCGCGGAGAACAGCTTTGATAATGTGGGTCAACATTTCTTTCAGGACATTGACATGACGGACCGATGATAGCGGCCTTTTCACCAAAAATCCCTGATTCATGCTGCCTAATTCTTTCTTTTGGAGCCTCGTGTTTGTGACGTATGGGCGACAATTGTACATGTATCTTTACATCCTGTATGGCACCTAGTCTGGCACCTTGGCATGAGGTCGTTCACGGCCGTTTACATCGAGCGATTTTGTTTTATTTCCTAAGACATCATATTTTTGCACACGGCGCTATCTCAAACATGTATAAACACCCGGGCTACTTGTTCACCGCCCCTAGACCTTCATATCACTATTATCTTTGACCCATTGGATCAGACACTTCTTCTAGCTACATCGGTTGTTGTTGGTCACACTGATCTTTTCTTACCCTACTTCCCAACTACTTACAACAGAGACACTAATCATCGTTGGTATTCATTTCCTAAAGTTGATTAAGGATGGTACACTGATGATTAACCCATTTGACTGCCCTTTTATACTTTGGCGCTGTATTTCCTGACGCAAAGGAACATTGAGCTACAACTCATTTCTGTTGTGCATTGTTGCTAACAAATGTTATGTAATCTTATAGGAAAGGTCTCACGCGACAAGCCAACCGATTCCCATGCTATCACCACCTGCGCCGTTGAACATTCCCCCATCTCGAGCTCGTCGTCAGCTAGCCGCACGCCTAGCAGCTCAGAAAGAACGGGCTGAAGCCGCCGTTTCCTCACCTCCCTCGGACGACATTTCTAAGGACTCTGAAAATACCGCTTCTGGCGACAGTACCCAATCAATGAACTACAGTTTTGGCCTTAGCTCTATCATGGACCCCTTCGGATCATCGGCACAGGGGACCGACGGTTTTGGCTCGTCCTCAGTGGGAAATACATCGTCATACGGTGCATTTACTTCCCCTTTTTCGGCATACGGAAGGCCGTCTTCCCCTCCGTCTTCCCTGTCTAGTTTCCCTCACGTCAATATGTATTCGTCCAACTCCTCCGACGAAGGTGACGAACTGTCCACCGAAGCTGTACAACGAAAAGGTCGACTTCCGCTTGAGGTAGACGACGATGATACGGATGAGATGAGTGATATAGTTGGGCCTCATACGGAACTCGTTTCGACTTACTCCGACGAGGAAGATGGGACGCTAGTAGGAGAGCCTTTAGGGTATTCCAACTTTTTTGAGAGTGCGCCGTATGGTAGCAGTACATCGGGGACTAGGATGCGAAATGCTGGGGGGAATGTATTGCTTGACTCGAAAGATCGAAATGACAGCAGCGATGGCGAAGAGGATGATGGCCTTGTAGAGATTTTAGTGCCAGGAAGGAAATAATGACCGAATTCCTTTTGGTATATGATTATCTTCTATGTTCGATGCATTGCGCACTTTGTTTTTTCTTCTGTTTAATCTGTTCACTCTTTCCCTTATGGTCCGTGTTGTCTAAAGGCCCTTTTTTTCCCCCCATCCTCCAGATGTCCTCCAAACATTGGCTTTACCATTGTATCCCTTCGCTGTTACCTCTTACCTGATCCTCGCATTATACACCCAAAAGAAAGTGGATTCCGGTCCTCCCCCTTTCTATTAATCTGGATAAATGGTCTTCAGTATCGACATTGTACAACATATATTGTATATAGCTTCCACATTCTTTTCCCATTGTGCATATTTTACTGTCCCACCCCTCCCGTGTTGCCCTGGCCAGTTTTGGCTCCCGTCCCTTGATCCTTTTTTCTTTCTTTTATTTTCAAAGTCATCTCGAGGGCCTAGATCTAATGTTCCTATCAGCGACTTCGCACTGAGATTCCAGTCCAAATATATATCGATGACAGCGTCTGATCAATGTATATAGTAATTAAACCCGACAGTAACATATGCCAGCTTGCCCTTGCCATTTGAGCTGGCTGTGACTAAGCGAAATCCACGTGACCAAACCGCACCAATCACATCCGCCGCAAAGTAACATCCGAACTCTTGTTTCGATCCTTTCAATTCCTACTCCCTCCAATCTCCCCTTCATTGGTATCCGCTCAATTGGTGAGCGCAAGGAGGCATCATGATCTCTCGGGCGGTTGCTCCATCCACGCACTCCTTCTCCCACATCACCCCCCGCACATTGCACACAGCATCAACCGTTTCATCCCATGCGGCTCGAGAACCTCGACGACAGCAGCAGCAACAACGAGGCCTTGCTACTGTCCAAGATGCGGCTGCATCGCCTCCACGGACATATGGTGGCTTGAAAGACCAGGACCGCATATTCCAGAATCTGTACGGACATCATGGCGCAGATTTGAAAACCGCGATGAAGTACGGCGATTGGTACAGGACAAAGGACATTGTATTGAAAGGACATGACTGGGTATGGACTGTTCCCGGAGTTTAGAGCCGGAGCGGTTCGGGCGCTTTCATAAAATTGCGAACTGATGATTTTCAGATTATTTCGGAGATTAAGGCATCCGGGCTAAGAGGCAGAGGTGGTGCTGGTTTCCCTTCTGGTTTGAAATGGGTACGTCAACCTTGAATCGCTATGATTTGCGGAAACGCAGTGCTATAAGAAATCGGCATTTATGGGGTTGGTTATACTGACGCAATCACACGTTTCAATTGCCCATATTTATAGTCCTTCATGAACTTCAAGGACTGGGATAAAGATAATAAACCAAGATACCTCGTTGTGAACGCTGACGAAGGCGAACCGGGAACTTGCAAAGACCGAGAAATCATGCGAAAGGATCCCCATAAGCTTATCGAGGGCTGTCTTGTGGCAGGACGTGCGATGAATGCTACGGCCGCCTACATCTATATCCGTGGCGAATTCTACCACGAGGCCACAGTTCTACAGCGCGCCATCCAGGAAGCTTACCAAGCTGGCTTGATCGGTAAAAACGCCTGCGGATCCGGTTATGATTTCGACGTTTACCTTCACAGGGGAATGGGCGCTTATATCTGCGGCGAGGAAACTTCTTTGATCGAATCCCTTGAAGGAAAAGCTGGAAAGCCCCGCTTGAAGCCTCCGTTCCCGGCTGCCGTCGGTCTCTTCGGCTGTCCCAGCACAGTCACTAACGTCGAAACCGTCGCTGTGGCACCAACCATCTGCCGTCGTGGAGGTAAATGGTTCGCCTCATTCGGGCGTGAGCGAAATCAGGGAACCAAACTATTCTGCATCTCCGGTCACGTCAACAACCCATGCACAGTTGAGGAGGAAATGTCTATTCCACTTCGCGAACTTATTGAACGCCACTGCGGTGGTGTGCGAGGCGGCTGGGATAATCTACTGGCTGTTATCCCAGGCGGCTCATCAACTCCGATTCTCCCAAAGCACATCTGCGACGACCAACTGATGGATTTTGACGCTCTCAAGGATGCGCAATCCGGTCTTGGAACGGCAGCCGTGATCGTCATGGACAAATCTACCGATGTAGTAGCCGCCATCTCACGCCTGTCCGCGTTCTACAAACACGAAAGCTGCGGCCAATGCACACCATGCCGCGAAGGAAGCAAATGGACTATGCAGATGATGCAGCGCTTCGAACGCGGTCAGGCCCGCGAACGGGAGATCGACATGCTTCAGGAACTCACCAAGCAAGTTGAGGGACACACCATCTGCGCTCTCGGAGAGGCTTTTGCGTGGCCCATCCAGGGCCTGATCCGGCATTTCAGACCAGAGCTCGAGGCTAGAATACGCAAATATGAACAGGATCACGGTGGTAAGCAGGCATTTGCTGGGGGTTGGGACCCACAGGCGCGTATGGAGGGAAAGCTTATCGCTCCTGGCCAATAATTTACATATGATAGAATGGATTTGCTGGAGGGGCTGGCTGCCTGCTTAGGTTTAGTTTAAAGCACTCCCGTAGACGAGAAAAGTGGTAATGGGAGAGTCTTCTTGTTCCCCATTAAACCACATTATCACCCACCACCTCCGTACCGCTCGATATGGAGAGGAATATTCTGTTTGCCATATGGCTGAAGAGAAATGTTCCCTCTCCCACACACTTTGGCTAGATATTTTCCCTTAATTTATGTTGCTGTACTGTACATTTATTTCCCCGTTCCTTCTGCTCGTTATATGCGTATTTAGGTTCCTATTCTCACCTTCCTCTTACCCTTTTTTTTTGTACGGTATGCTAAAGGAAACAAAAATATTCTCATAGTTAAAAATAATCTCACCATTCTCTTCTGGTAGGACATCACTTTCTTCGGTCTATCGGCCTGGGAAATAGAGGTTGATATCAGCCTACCAAATTTTAAAGGGGGGTTGAATGGGAAAACTACTCCTAGGTAGCATGATTATAACTATTGTCACTGCTGAGTAAAACTTGTACACTAGTTAGTTAGTTACATACATGGACGGAGCTCATAAAGGATGGATGTTGTGACTGAGACTTCAGGGTGGTGGGACACAGTAATAAAATAAGGAGGCATGGATATATCCAAGCGGAGTTCAAGACCACGAAAAAGAATATGAAACTCACTTTTTATTTTTCGTTCCTTTTATAATAAACCAATCATTTCTAAAGGTCTTTAAACAAAACTAATTATAGAACTATTTAGCTAATACAATCAAAAAAACCATGTAAAACATCACCAACAAGCATACACTCTTCCGTAGAATAATACACAAGAGAAAGGAAAAACAAAATAGAAATATCCATCAGTCCATCAAAATATCCTTGCTCACCAACAAGACCCAAACACTCGCGCACTCTATTTCCATTCATACCAATGGCAATCACTCATGGAAGTACGCCAGGGCATAAGGCGTTTTATTATTCTCTTTAGGCTTCCAGAGCCGTTTGCTGATATCGTTGTTCCTCGTCAACTTTTGTCTCCCGTTAGTCCGTTCTCATCAACATTCGCTGTCATCTCCTATCAGCAATAGAGAGACCACTTAATGGGCTGTGGCCATGATAATATTGTAGTACCGCCTGCTCATTTCGGCCGTGTGCAAGAGTCGAGTATCCTGCGTCAGCAACAAATTAAGAATAGCTGCGGGCTCGATAGTCTAAATTAAACAAAGGAAATATCTAGTTAGTATACCATTCTCCTAGCCCTCACCCACGTTGTCGTAAAAATAAAACGGAGACTAAATAAAGAAAACTCACACTTCTAGTATCCTTCGCACACCACCCAGCAACAACATGACTAATTTCCCTAAACGCGACCGTTTCCTCCAAACTAGCAGAAACCGACGACGGATCCTCCTTATCGCCATCCCTACCCTTATCTTTCTCACTATCCATTCTCTGGCCCAAAGTCGCCAAAGCAGAAACCAACCTCTTTAACCGCGCCGACTCGCGCCGTGGACCCTTGGCCGTAATCAGATGCAGGAAGTCATCATAGATAGCTCCACCAGCGTCCCAGCCACGCACTTTGCGCTCAGGAGACTCGCCAAATCCAGAAATCAACGTCTCAAGAGTCACATAGTCGCGTTCGATAACCGTCCTGGGCCCGACGAGTCTTCGGAATGTCTCATGCGCTTCGTTCCAGTGTTTCGCATTGATGAGGAACTGCACCTCGTTCGACGGGTCGCATTGGGCACGTGCGTACAGCGCTTTTGCCGCCCAGATCCAGCTGCTGGGTACTTGGAGGTCATCCACGATATAGCCCCACAGGGGATTTGGGGTTCCATCGTTGAAAGTGCGGGCAGGAAGCCATGCGGCGAAGCGGGAAAGAAGCTCTTTAATACTACGTTCTCGCTGAGAGGAGTTTAAGAGGTGTTCTAGGACGAATATGGCTGATGGGAATTGCTCGAGCGCTGCGAGTTCCCAGGCATAATCCCATGTTAGCTGATCAGCTCGGGCTTCATTGATAACTGCCGCATCGAGATGTCCCATCAACGTTTGTAAATGGTGGAATAACTGAAATGAGAATCGATTGTGCAGGGGGTTTCCAGAAACAGCGTCCGGCAAAATTGCTTCAGGCAGTGGGATTGGTGGAATTTTGCAGTTTTCCTGTCGGCCCATCGCCGTTGTGAATGATTTCAGCATAACCCAAAGTGGAGATTCCAGAGGGTCATCACGATTACAATCTCGGGATTCTTCCGAAAAAGGGTAAGCTGGCTCATTTCCATGGGTAATATCGTGGTGGAAGAGTTCCACTGCCTTCTCGATGGAGTCCTCTTCGTCAATACCATACCAGAGTCGAAGCGCAAATGCCTGGATCCAGTCAAGCTCGAAGCGCTCAGATAAATAAAAAGTGGACGCTCTATCTTCAAGGACGCCACCAGGCTTTCCATCACTCCGCAAACAATTTCCAGCAAGCAACTCGTAAAGAGCTCGAATAGGCTCAGTCATTTCAGAATAAACATTATGTTTACGCCACGATTCGATTTGCTCTCGCATAGCGTTGCGCACTGTGTTATTGCGACCAATTTGTGGCACCAGGGTCCCTAAATGAAAATTTCTACTTTCCACGAGGGCTTTGCAAGCTTCGTCAATGCGATGGGAGGAGAGAAAAGCGATTGCACGCTCCTCAGGAGACTGGATGTCGGAAACTTCTTTGGAATGTCGATCACGTATAATGGATTGCCAGAGCCGACTAAGTCTATCCTTTTTGATACGATGGACATATTTATGGCGCAGATTTTGGGGAACCCCCGCCGATATGTCGTCCTCAATATCGTCGTTGAAAA